CTACAATGACTTTAGCTCCTACATTGTTTTTCATTGTTTGCTTTCCTGAGGTTGGAAAGGAATTTATCAACTACCACTTGTATGAAACCTATTATGGTCATACTGCAGATACAAAGTGTTATGATAGCAGACTGTCAATCCTGAAAGTTCTGAGATAACACATGAACAACTAGGAAAGAATTCCTTTCCTAGAAGTTAAAACTCAAATATAAAAATGTATGAACTGCCTGGGGCTCCTACTTGCCAATAAACTATTGGACACATAAATCCAATAGATGACATAGATATTTTTTAAGTAAATGTGGGTGTGTGTGAAAGGGTGGTTTGGTAAGCCTTTCATCTCAGGGAAGTCTTTTTCATGGATCAAAACTGATTGCGTTCTGGTTTATGGACTAGATCTCTAGCACAGAATTGCCAGGATCCTGCAGAAAGAACAAACAGTTCATTTAACTTTGGAGCTCCGGCAACTTAGTTGATAGTATCTCTATCTATTGTGGTTAATAACAAATTCCAATTTGGAAAAGCTGTTATTAAAACAAATGTAATGTTTGGGTACTAAAGACATAGGAGCCAAAAGGTCACCTGAGAGCTTGCCCCCATCTGCTGTGGACTGAGTCCTCCAAGAAGAATGGCAAGGTAAATGTTGGTATAATCTTTGGAACTGATAGATTCTTTTATTTGGAATTTGAGAGCTTTTTTTCTAGATCTAATTTCATAAACTTCTAGAAAGTCATGATATAAGAAATAGAAGACGTTTCCTCTGATTTATAGCTAAGGAAAGAAGACATTAAGTGTTTTGGCCCTGGATCACACACAGCTAGTCCCACACCCATCACTAAAACCTGCTTGGCTTCCTAAAATCATAATGTACCTTCTCCCAGAAAAGCAAGAGGCAAAAGGAAAAAGGCAAAGGAAAAATGGCTGAATATAGGAGTTACGGGAGTTGGAAGTTTGTGCAATCTAAGAGTGATTTAAGAGGATAAGTTAAATATTTTATTTTAAATATTTAAAAATTAATCCACATTATTTAGATATGACTGTTTTTCTTATCCTCCAAAGCAGAACTAAATCAACAAAAGATCAGCTGCTGTAGCTTTTGTGTAAGGGAGAATCCTGGGGACTAGAGTAAAATGCTTGTCTTAAAATGACTTCTAGGGATTAATCAGCCCTAGAGAATTAAAACTTTAGCAGCCTCTTGGTGGTGGCTCCTGGAAGAGTAGAGAATTAATATTGAGATGTTGGGGTGGAAATTGTTTCAAAATAAACTTTTAATTCCATCTAATTAGAGTATCTGCCTCTCTGCTCCTTTTGGGTTAAGATTGTACTGATAGATTACAGAAAGGTTCTCAACTACATCCTCAGCTAATCTTGATTCTAATACGACTATTAACTATGTGTTTGGGAACACTGGTAAATGAAAGGGCAAGTAAGCTGTGCAGATTAGCAACTTGTCTTCACATCTGGAATGTCAGCGCAATATTAAGTGTATAAAGCTACGTTTGTGGACATTACCTCATTTGATCCACGTATTACAGATGAGGAAGTGGTAACTCAGAGGTTGTGATCTTCCCAAGGTCAGTAAGCTGGTAAATACCAGCCTGTCCCTAAAACAAGGTGCAAATAGTGGCCCTAAAAAACATATAACCTTTTCTTGACATTCCATAGCTCAGATTTCTTTCATTTCTGCTTGTTGCCTTCTCTTATTTTTTCCTGTGTGGTTGTGAATAACACCAACAAGAATATTGCTGTTTATATATTTAGATTGCTATGTAAGATTGGTTTTCTTGACTAATGTAAGCATCTTTCCAGATATTATTAGAAAGAAGTGGAAACTCACTGAAACATTTCTTGCTTTCATTAACAATCCCTCTGTTAACTTTACTGGATATGATAGAGTCACAAATTGTTCATAGGGAAAACAAAGACTCAGGCTGTTTTCTCTCCACATGAGCTTCACAATACTGGTACATTTTATTCCCATATTTATCCTAAATTTCCAGTCTTGCCACATATTAATACCATGCCCATATTACTGTAATTTTTAAAAAAGAAACATCTTGTGCAAAATGACCCTTTTAGAATGGTAGGTATCCCCCTTCTCCCTACTTTGCTTAAACATTCATCAGATCCAGGAATCTCCCGCGCCTGACATAGTTTGAACTTAGATTCAACAGGCCCACGGCCAAGGTGGGAAAATCTCACAGTGCCCTAGTTTGGGAGCAGTCGGAGTGCGGAGAGGCGCTGGAGACTGTAGCTTCCAGCTGGGTGAGAACGGGGCCCTTTCAGGGTCCGCGAGACCAAGCCCCTTCTCTTCCCGGAGCGCGCGCGCCCCCTGGCGGCCTAAGCGATGATAGACCGCTGAAAGAGCCCAGTGTCGGAGGCGCTCAGAGCCGCGAAGTCACCTGGTCTAACGTAACCCTGGGCGCCCCACGCAGACCTCCCTAAACTCATCAGGCTGCGCTGCCCACTCGTGTCATGTCCTTTGTTCCCTTGGACGTCTCCGCAGGTGATGCGGTGTCCCGGCGTCGGAAGCGCGGTGGCCTCACTTGCTGGGGAGGCCCCTGGTTCCTGCGGCTTTTGGGTGGCCTGGGAGGGCCGGGAGGCGGCGGGGGGGATTCCGCAGCAGCCAGCCGGGTGCCTGCGTGTCAGGGAGAAGCCGAACGCCCCTCCCTGGCCCGCGGTCGGCGCGCAAGGGGGCCGAGCCCCGGGAAGGGGAAGAACGTATAATCGCTTGCAGCGGGACAATGACGACTTTTGAACCTCTAACCACTAAGCAAACAACCCTTGTGCTCTTGCTCCACTGTCCAAACAGCATTTATTGACAGGCGTTTCACAGCAACGCATAGCAACCGCGGCGGCAGCCAGGGGGCGGGCGTGTGGGCGCGGCTGGGGCGCGGGGCCGGCGCTCCCTCCCTGCGCCGGGAGACCGGGCAGCGGGGGCACCCAGGATCGCAGCGGCCCTGAATCCGGATCCCTGGTCCAGCGAACTCCGACACGGCTTCCCCCTGGGTCGAGCAGCCCCCGCCCCCGCGCCCCGCGCTCCAGAGTCGGGCCAGGCCCCCTTCCCCCACGGCTCGGGCCAGGCGCCCGCGGGCCCAGCCACCAGAGGCCCCTTCCCAATCCCGGAGCGGAATGCGCCACCCGGAAGGGCCGCGGGATTGGGGAGGCGCTGCAGAGGGTATTTATGCCTCCTGCTGGCTCCCAGCTCCGCTCATCCTCCCCAGCAGCCCTCGAGGCGCCTCCTCCCTCTGTTGAGGCGCTGATTAGGCTCTAAGGTGCTGGTGGGAAGAAAGGGAGGGCAAAGCCCGCCTCCCCCGGGCCCTGCCCGGAGCGTCCAGCTCCGGGGCCTCCAGGACCAAAAACCTCAAGGGTGGCAGCCTGGTCCCCAGGAGATCGGCCAGATAACAACCAGCCATCACTGAAGGGATCTTCTTATCCTGGGTCTTGAATTCTTGTTTGTGGGTGGGAGGGAATGGGACAAGAAAACCGCGGGGACAGGGAAGAGAGTGGAGGCAGAAAGGGCTCATGGAAATGCCCAGTGATTCTCAGAAGACTATGTTCATGGAAATGTTGACTTGGGAAAATGGGAGAAAAAAATTTTCCACTTAATGCTTATGTTTAATTAGCTGGATTGTGGGGCACCCCAGGGAGGAGGGCGTCACTGAGGAGGGGAGTTGCCTGGCGTTTGCAATCTCCTCTCAGTGTATTTGATGAGATGCTATGAGGGGCCCTCTCATCCCCACCCCCAATAATTCCCAGCTGCTGGGAAGCAGGTGACCATTCAGATGTGCATTTTGCCCAAAGGCACCCCCAGGAGAACCAAACATTCCAAGGCTGGGCTCAGGCTTGGGGGCAGGGAAGGTCTTGGAACCTGCTCCTTCAGGCTTCTGACGCTCTGGGGTAAAATGAGGCTGTCCAGATAACCTTCTCCACCCACTCCCTGATTTTTCTGATTCTAGCTTGCAAGCAGAGAAGGTATTTCATTTCTTAAAAAAAAATAATAATTCCAGACAAAAACTGAAAAAAATAAATACAGAATCTGAAATCTGGAACTCTCATTTATCTTTTTTCTTTTTAGAAAAAAAATTCAACAGTGTTCAAATACCCACCACTTCCCTTCACCATATCACTTCTCTCCCCATAGATCCAGAAGGCTTTTAAAAGGCTGGCTTGGATGTTACACAGACCAACGACCCAAACAGCAGCAACAACAACAAAACCCCCTTCTTCATCAGCCCCAAGATTGTGAAAATGACAGGAAGTCCAGGTTGGCTCTGGCATTTATAGCACTGACATACATTCAGCCCAGAGAAGCTCTGGTGACAGGCTTTCTAAACAAGCCCTGTCCGGGCCCCCTTGTGAGGCCTGGAGTCCAATAACCACCCCCTCACACCACACACTGCACATACACCAGCCAAGCCTCTCCTGGTCTGGAAAGGGAGAAGAAAAAAGACACAGGCCACCTGGGGGTTTTGCAGTTTTTGGTCAGTCCAGCTTTCTATCTTAGCTGCCTCTGGCTTCTGCAGTTTAAATCTTGCCTGCCCTGAGGCAGGAGGGCCAGCTGGGCTGTGGATGGCAGTGGGCAGATGGCAGCCACCTTGGCTCCAGTGTGCTGTTCCTGAGTCCCTCTCTCCCCTCAGCTCCAGCCAGCGATGCAGCCTGCAGATCTTGGAGGCAGAGAGCTTTGGAGGAGGAAGCTGAAAGCCTGGTCAGGGTAGTCCGTCCAGGCGATGCTTCTGCCAGTACTGAATGAAGCCCAGTGGTCATTTCCTGTCTCCTCAGTGGTGGAAAAAGTAAAAAATCTGGGAGAATATCTTCTTTGAGGCCCCCCAATCCCACTTGTCTTTACTCCTGGCCTGCATTTTTCCTCTGAGAGCTAGATTTGCAGGTATGCATTTGTGGGTAGGAGTGGAAGGGTCTCTTCTGAGGATCCTAGCAGAGTCCATGCTCCTCATGGCTCAGCCTGGAATTGCTCTGCCGCTGCAGACCACTGTCGGTCACTAGGTGACAGTGGGGTTTAACACCCCCCCAGTTGGCCCCAGAACCCCCGGGACAGAACCCGGCACTGAGCCTTGCAGGGAAGACACAGGACTCAAGGGCTCCTGGACACTTCTCAGAGGACCTGGCTGAGGCTGGGGAGGCTGTGGCGGAGGCGGCGGAGGCGGCTGCTGCTGCTGCTGTTGCTGCTGCTGCTGCAACTTCTTCTTGTTGATTTTCCTTTCCTTCGCTCTGCGGTTCTGAAACCAAATTTTAACCTAGAAATGGAAAGGCGGAAAAAAACAGACTGTAGTGAAGATGACGACAAGAGGGAAAAGAGGAACAGTATCCAGCAGTGTCACCAATGTCTCCCTCTCCAACTAAAGAACCCTAAACCCTCCTAGAGGCTTTTGTTGGATATCTCCATAACAGCCCAACCCTGGAGCCATTCCCAAGCCCCATTCACTCTCGGGAGAAGAGTCTTCCTCCTTCCTTGCTCCCCAGGTGTTTTTTCAAAGCAACCTTTATCTACGTCTTTACTGGAAAAGTTCAGAGTCTCAGGACCCAGGAAAACAGAAACTGCAAGGCCCTTTATACACAAGCAAGAGGAGGCCAGTGTACTTCAAATGACAACCTTTGGCCCCTCAAGGCTAAACTGAAATGTAATATTCCTCACCTTGGAGCTGAAAATGAGTTTTAATGTGTGGCTTCCTGGCTGTGAATTTGGCCTGTTTTTTCTAGACTATAAATAGAAACTGTTCATGAAACAGGTCTCACCCCTCTAGAAATTGGTTTTCTTCTCCCTCAGTACAGAACTAAAAACAAAGAGAAAAGGTCTTTAATAAGTCTTTGTTGACCCAAATGGAATTCTGGATTAAACTAACACTCTTGGCTTTTTCTCACACCTCCCAGATCCTTCAAAATAGGAAAAAAAAAAAAATCAACAACATAAAACACGACTAGAGGTAGAAGAAGGCTTTTTATAAAGCACTCCAAAGGCAAATGCTGGCATCCTCCTGCTGTAATCTGCCCACAGAACTAGGTGGGCCCTGTGGCCGGGCCTGCTAACCCTCCTGGCCCTCCCTCAGGCAATGGCCAGGCCCAGGGGGAGCTGGGCGGTTCCCACCTGCCTCTCTGAGAGCCCCAGCGTGGCAGCCAGCTCGGCCTTCCTCCGGATGGTGATGTAGCGGCTGTAGTGAAACTCCTTCTCCAGCTCCAGCCGCTGGTGGTCCGTGTACACCACTCGGTATTTGTCTTTCGTCCTGGTTTTCACTGTGGAGGAAGGAAAAGTTAGCACTGAGGACTGCAAGGCAGCCCATCAGTCATGGGTAATGACAAACCTCCCTAACCCAGGGGCCATTTCTCTTCCTCCGCCACCCTGGGGGGGCCCGGTTTGGCTGGTTCCTGCCAAGTCTGACAAGACCCCCCAGAGGGTCCCGGAGGGAGGGAGGAGTCTAGTGGGGGCAACTAAACTAACCTTGGGGTTAAATGGTTTTTAAAAATTAAAAAAAAAAAAAACTAAACTAAAACCTCATATGCAAAGAAGATAGGTGAACCAAACTATCCTTTTGGTAAACCAAATACCATATCGGCACCCAGGGAAAGAGGGGACAGGCTGGGTGGCCAGAGTCCAGTGAATATCCAGATTTTCAGGGCTACCAGAATGGAAGCCCACCCTGAGCACAGCTGGGGTTGTGGGTATGTGTTGCAAAGGTGGAGGTGGGGTTACTTTCTGTTTGCTTTACTACTCGTGGATGCAGGAGCTGGCAGGTTCCCTCAAGTCACCAGAGTCATCCCCCAGACACACCAGGCCCATCTGGAGGAATTCTGAGCTGGGCTCTGGCATTCGGAACCTATGCTGGCAGGCAGAAAACCAGTCCCCTGGGGACACTTTCTACCTGCCAGAACCCAGTTTGGCGAGTGGCACTTTTTCTATCTAACCCTCCATTTAGTCCAGCTGCAAACCTGGCCAGAGCTATCCTGACCAGTGATCTATGTTCATTGGATTGAGTCAACATATTAAATCCTGGATTGATTGTTTTACTGAAGGGCCTTGACAAATAGTGTCCACAATGTTGGAGCAGGAAGAGCCTGGCGTCTCCACCCGGTCTGTCCTGGGTCAGCCTTTGGCAGAGCCCTGGCCAAGAGCTGTTCTCTCTGGCTCGGTCCCAGGTCGGGGTCTTCTTGCAGCTGAACAGGTTCAATCTCCCTTGCCCAGTCCTACCGAAAGATCTGAAGGGTCTGGGAGTTGCCTGGAGGTGTTTAATGCCCCGCAGGCCGACTTTGTTCAGGTAAAACCCTTTGCAAACCACAACAAAAGCGCCCTGGGAAGATACAGGCCGGATCAGAGGGAGCTCCCCCCGAGCCGCTGAAAGGGGAACACAGCGGCAAACAATGCCCGACAAGGCGATCTTATCAAAGAAAAGCCCTTTCAATGCCTTAATAACAACCGCATTCTGTTTGAATTACCACTACTGAGCAAATGGCGGCCCCGGCTTTCATCCCCCTCCCCGCCAGGCGCATTAACATAAACACGGCCGGCAGGCGCATTTGAATGGGCGCTGCGGCCCCGACCCCGCGCCAGCCCGGGAAGTGCAGGGACCTGACACGTCCTGAGAGCCGTCTACGAGGTGGGCGCGCTCACAGGCCTACCGCCCCCAACCCACTCGCTCCTTTTCACAGATGAGGAAACTGGGAATGAGACGAGGTCACGCAGATACTCTAAGGCGGGGCTGGCCCTGGAACCTGGTTGGAGCCATAAGGGACACCTCCAGGGCTGGGAACGGGGCGCAGGGCACTTCCCTCGGCCAAACACCCCAGGAGCGATACTCGCTTTGAGGGGCCTTGGAGAGGCCCTTGCTCGGGTGCTGCCCTTTCAGTGTCCCGGGAGGGCCGGGAAACGCGGTGACCAGGACCCTGTGCGCTCTTCGGCCCGCGCCCCAAGGGCCTTGGAGGCGCCCCACACCCCCTGGGAACCACGGAGCGGGACTGAAGGAGGGGAGGGATGAGAGGGACTTGTCAGAATTCATTATTGACTGCGAAAGTCACCACCCTCTTTCCGGGCCCTAAAAGAGACAATGGCAGGGCTGGGAAGGTGTATATCAAAGCGGACCAGGCCGCGTAGCCCCCACCCCTCCGCCCCTTGACAGATGACGCTCCGCAGAGGAGTCGGGCTCGGGCCGCGGGCCGCGGCCTCCCCACATTAACATCACAAGGGCGCCCGGCGCCTACCGCGGCCTTGCCACCTCGGCGCGGGACTTCACAGCGACCTCTCATCTGCTGACCCCGCGGCCTGGGCTCCGGCGGCTCCCTTCCCTCCCCCACAGACGGCCCTGGCCCCGCTGCCACTCTCTCCGGACACGCAAAAGGTCTCCCTGAGGCCACCAGCGACCCCAGCAAACCGCGCCCCAGTCCGGCTATGTAGAAGGTGGGTCTCTGGGAGTTTGGTCTGGGAGCGCGCCCTGAGGGCGCCTCTTCTTGGGGAAGGGATCAAGCCAAGTCTCTGAGGCCAGCCCGAGGCTGCCCTGTGGCCTTCTCCCGGGCCGGCCTCATTTCCCACCTGGACTCTCCTCCGCATGTGCACAGTGACGCAGAAACTGTTGCCCAGACACAGCCCCAACAGCCGCTCTGATTTATACGGCTGTAATTGGCTATAAACCTCTGCAAAGTGGCCATCACCTGCATGCGAGGCCGACTAGGCCAGCAAGGAGAGAAGCCAGAGAAGCGGAAGCGCTGAGGTCTGGAGAGAGACTTCTTGGAGTAAAAGAGGACGCAAACAGAACTCTCCCCATCACATCCATTCGCTCCTGTCACCTCAACACACATCCCGACACCAGAGGAGCCAATGAGCCCCGCAGTCTAGCAAACTTAGAGTCTTGAACACACACAGACGTACGCACATACTCGTGACACCCTCGAAAGGAAGATTTGGTTAAATGACTCCTATCTGGAGCACAGGCTGAATCCCCACCAGGGTTTCCTCCCCCTCTCCCTGCCCTCTGCGCAGACACGAGAGGACTCCCTCTGTTTCTTTTCCCTAGCCTTCCAGCTTTTGCTTAGAATAACCCTTTCACAGATAAAAGGTTCAGAGACGGGGCACGCCCCCCTCCCCTTAGCTCCTGGAGCCAGCACCTTCTTTCCAGCGACAGCAGCTTTCCCCACTCCCTCTGCTCGCTGTATCCCTTGAATTGGCCCGAATGGCCAAATCTAGCCCCTTGCGCAGCCTAGACGCCTGCTTGACAACCCCCAGGCCACCTCTGCACGGGTGGCTCTGACGGGGAAGAAGAGCTCGGAGAGAAATGGTCTAGACCCGGCCCGGGGCAGCTCGAGGCTCCCTCTCCTTGGCGGCCAGGAGCTGCGCAAGGAATGAGGGCGGCAGCAAATAGGGAGGACGCGACTCCGCTCCTGTGCAGCGGTGCTCACGCCTACATTCCCGGGAGCTTCCCAAAAGTATCTCAGGTTTGTGAATGAGGGACTGTTAGAAAGAGGAAGCCTCTCCTCTGCCCCAAACTGAACCAGGTGTTGTGAGACTCAAAATATCCACTCCCAGGCGCAGTAACCAGAACCCCCGAGCGGCCAGAGTCCCTCGAATTTGTCCCCCGGCCCTCCCCCTTCCTGGCGTGGACAGACAGCCCCGGACACCCCTGTGCGCACTGGACGCGCAGCCGCCCCGCAGCCAGCGGCCGTCCCGCGCCCTCCCAGAGCGCCCTCGCGCGGGTCACCGCCGCCGCTTACCTTGGCTTCCGAGGGACGGCTGCGCCGGCTTCCGCATCCACTCGCACAGGTTCCGCCGCTGGCCTCCGGGGGACAGCTGCTCTGCGGCGGCGGTGGCGGCCGGCCCCGGGGGGCCGGGATTGAGCGTCTGCAGCAGCCCCGAGGCGCAGGAAGGCGCGGCGGCGGGGTGGTGCGGGTGGTGGTGCGGGTGGTGGTGCGGGTGGTAGTCCGCGGGGCTGCTGTAGCCCATGGCGGCGGCCGGGGAGCCCCCGTTGAGGCCGTGCGCGACGGCGTTGGCGGCGGCCGCTGCGCCCCCCGGAGCGTAGCCATTCCAGTCCTCTCGAAGCGGGGCGCCGTACGCAGCCGGCCAGGACGGCCCGGGGGACTGCGCGCTGTCCAAGTTCGCGGCCGCCGCAGCCGCAGCCGCCACGTGGTAACCGCCGTAGTCCGGGTACTGCGGGGGGCTGACGAAGTTCTGTGGCGCCAGGTTGAGGCCGCCTGAGTGGCGCACGGAGCTAGGGTACATGCTCACGTCCTTGTCCAGGAGGTAGCTCACGTACATGGTGGCGAGGGCCCGAGAGCAGACCTCACCATGCTGCCTGGGGAGGGACGCTGGAGGCTGCCAGGGGCGCGAAGGGGAAGGGGCTGGGGGCGCGACGAGCGGCGGGTGGCTGAGCCCCAGCCCGCGGTGCTCCGCTGGCTCCTCGCGGCGCTTCTGCCTCCGAGGCGGTCCCTCCCTCTGGCCTGCCTCCTCCCTCCCTCCCTCCCTTTCTTCCTTCTTTCCTCCCACCTCCTTCCCACTGAGCTGCAGAGGCGGGGAAGACCCGCCACAGGCTGGCGTGCGGAGCTCCTGCCGGCGGCCTTACGTGATTAACGAGTGTTTACAAGAGTCTATTAGTAATGACACAGACACCAATGGCTGGAGACGTCGAGGCGCAGCGCACATTGAGCGCACAACCCCCCGAAACACAATTTGCATTTTAAAAGATAAGGGGGGAGCTCTTGAGAGGGCCACGACCTGATCACAGCTAAATATTCAAACCTTTATTGTTAAGAGCTTCCTCCTTCCAACCTGGTGCACTTTAACCTCCAATCACAGGTTCAAAGAATGAAATCAAGAGACTTGCAAAAGAGAGGGGGAGAGAAAGCTATCTGGTGGGAATCCGGGCTTGGAGACAAGAGCAGTCGTTGTTTATGCATTTGCAGGGAAGGGGGCGGTCAAGAAACTCCTTCTGTCCCAAAGAGAAAAGAAAACGGAAGCCATTGCTTTGATGAGAATGTCTCTGACCAACCTGGGAGGTGACGAGGAGAGCCCAAGGAGATGGGCCGGTTCCTTCCCGCCCTGCACTCCTGGCCAGGACCACTGGCAGCCCCAAAACAACTGTCACCGCCAATCGTTTATTTTCTTGCCCAAGGAAATCACTCGCATTCTGCACAAGATAAATTATGATTTTAGCTTCAGGCTTCATCTTCGAATTCATCTTACATTTGGGATTTGAGTTAAATTAAAGCAATTTATTTTTAAAACATTTACATTCAAGAATCAAAAATCTTAACTACAAAACCAATGGGTCTGTAGTGAAAGTTAGGCTAGTGGTTATTGGGGGGCATAGCTGGAGGGGAGCAGAGGGGATGGCTTATGGTTTCTTGAGGTTCTGGTTACACTGTGTGTTCGTTCAGTTTGTGAAAATTCAGCGAGCTAAACTTGTATATCTATTATACTTACATAAGTGGTTAAAAATCAAGGAAAAGCGAGCTGAGAATTTCTGCTAATACATACCTGGATACTTACATGTCTTACATCATACCTATGTCTTAAAAACACTCTCTCCTTTACATAGTAAAACATTCTCCGGAGAAATTTGTTTTTCATCTCTAGGGAATGGGAAGGCAACGCAGGGCCACTATGAATTATTGCTAATGAAAAGCTCCAAGTGGAGAAAAGTTGAGAAAGGAAACTTCTTGGCTTTGGGAGCGCTGCGGCCCAGGGGCGCAGGGCTGGAAGTGGTCACCCTGGGGACCGGAGCTGCGCAGCCTGGATTGGTAATTGCCGACAGGAGCGCAGAGGCAGCGGACATTTGGCTCGCGCGCGCCCATCTCCGTTTCAGCAATCTCATGGAGTGGGCCCAAGGTCGTTGTTGCCTCCTCTGCGAGCCCCAGTCGGCGCTGCCACATCTCCGGTTTGAGGATCACTGCGGCGGCCCTGGCGGGCTGGGCAGCCTGATTCGGTGGCTTCGAGAGGCCTCAGAACCCGCGGGCGCTCGCCGCTCTCCTGGAGACCTGCACTTGTTGGTTCTCATTGTCAAGCGCTTCTCTTGGGTATTCGTCACCGATGGCGCCATCCTGTCATTTCTGGAGCACTTTCCAGTGTCCGAGCCTCGTATCTCCCAGGATGAGGGACAAAGTCAGTGTTACTGTCCTCCCCATTTTGCAGGTGACAATCACCAAGCTGTCTCTGCACACAGACCCAAGTGAGATCAAAACTAGCTGAGGGCCTGGATCCCGATCCCGTGTTTTCTGGTTCCTCCCCCGCTTTGTGTTTTGTGAAGAAGAAGATTAAAATTGGGGGTGGCAGAGTACTCAGTAGCCAAGGAGCTTCCCACTCAAGAGTTAGGAGACCGGAGCTGGTACTTCCGGGGGTTCCTGGTACTGAGTGTCCTCGACTTCCCAGGAAATAAAACCAGAAGCAAATTACAAACCCCATTAAAAAGCCTAGATCGTTGAGGGAAGGGCAGAAAGGGATGTCCACAGTCTTGATGTGGCGGGAATGTGGGAGGTTAAGTCGTGGGCACTGCGAACTTTTGATCTAGCAAACATCTTCCTCCTCTTCCTGGAGACACAATCCCCCTTTCCATCCCCCACAAGCTTACCCCACCCAGGTCTGAGTTCTGGAAGCCTAGGCTGAGGCTCCAGCCTGTGTCTTCGGAATGCGGGCATTCTTCGGAACAATCACTTTATTGGGGACAGCCATCCCCTCCGCCCTGTGGTGGCCGCTTCCTGTGTTTTTATGGCCCAGGCTGCCGGCCTCTGGCTAATTGTCCCAGCTTTCCAGCTGTGTCTCTGTGCTCTGCCCTGGAGAAGGGGCTCTGGCCTGCACGCCTAACTGCTTTGGGAACTGCCAAGGCTGCTCTGATCCTGAGGGTGAAGCTGGGCCCAGAGCTGGCCAGGCCACAGGGAAGCCTGAGCCTGGCTTGGGATACTCCAGCCAACGAAAGGGAACCAACATGAAAACCAATCGGTTTCCCTTGTTGCAAAAATGGGTCTCCATGGCAGTAGCCTGGCCTGCCTATGGTTGCAGGGTATGGGCTGTTGGTGAGGGGAAATGAGCTAGTAAATGATGTCCTTGGACAAACTCCTCAGCATGGAAGTGTCCCTCTACGTCCAGGTTGCTCTCTCAGCCAAGAGAGGGCCAAGCCAGGACCATGGAAGGGGCAGGGTTGTGGTAGGGAGGGATAGAAGGTGGCTGATGGGACAGGAGCCTGGGTGTCTTTCCATTTGGACAGCCCTAGCCCTTTGCTGGTTGGTGGCCCATGGCTGTCCTCTGGAGGTTCACTCTGGCAGGGGTAGCCTCTCCAACCTCTGAGTGCAGGTGTGTGGCCCTGGGAGGATGCAGGAGCCACCTGCATCAGGGCCCTATGCAGGGGTTTCTTAGTCCTAGGCCCAAGGTGCTTAGTGGCTTTCTTAGAGACTTTTGGCTGCAGCTGAGGACCCCAGAAGGGACAGGGATGGTCATCCTAACCCCCGGTGCTGGAGGCACCCTTCCATCCTGTACTTCTCTGTTACCACCCTGCTGCTGCTGCCACCTGGCCAGAAAAGTCTGTAGCAAATTGCTCTGGGGGAGGCAAATTTGTTTGGGAAGCTTGAGGCTGGGGTTGGGCTGGGGCTGAAGCTGTGAGCCCATGATGCCATAGCTAGAGCCCACTTTTAAGGGCAGAAAAGGATGGGAAGGAAGAGATCCAGGTAAATAAAATGACAAGAAGACTGCAGGGGCAGCCACAACCAGGTTATCAAAGGGACATCTCTTTGTTACTAACAGTAGAGGCCACTTCACATTCCTCAGAGAGGGTCTGGGCTTCCAGGACCCTGCTAGTGGCAAGGGCAGGGGCTGAGGAGAGGGGTGGGGAGCAGGAGGCTGCCGGAAGGGGCAGGCTGCCCTGCCAGGCAGATGAGACACTCCTTAAATCCATAGATCATTGACACAGCTCCCTCCCTGCTCAAAGGTCCCCAGTGTTTGCTCCACCTTGGGGGACCTGCCTCTGCCTCTGCCTGCTATTTGTGGCTCCTGGAAACTGGGGAGCCCAGTGACCCACATAACCCAGAGAGGACAGCCTGTCTCTACCCACCTTAGCATGGAAGTCCGCTTTCTGAATCTTTTTTAGATCAAGAAAATTATCTACATAATGCAGCCCTACCATAGCCCTCTCCTGCCCTGCACAGGAAACCCTCACCCTGCATTGGCCTGAATTCCCAGGATAATTAAGGAAGTGTGAGAGGGAAGAGAATATTTTCTGATAAAATTATTCAGCTTGCCAGTCTGTACTCTGCTGTGGAAAAACTGCTCAATCTCTACTTAATTTGGCATTTAGGGAGTCTTTCAGCCATTGCACTCAATCAGCCACCCACTCAAACAAAGAAAGGCTCAATAATGGATGGTTTGACCCCAGCACCCCCACCCTGCCCTGCCACTGTGCTCTCAGCTAACATCTCTGGGAAGGAAATCAATAACAGTGTCCTTTCTGTGGGGCCTCCCCAGAGTCCACCACCTGTCTGGCCCCATCAGGCCACAATGGAACCCAACATGTTCCTCTTGAACAGCAGGGAGGGGCCGCAGCTGCCCACAGCTGCCCAGGCTTCATTCACAATAGCAGATGTGTCCTGCTCAGTAGAGTGAAGAGTGTTTTCCTCCCAAGTAAACTGGGTTTCTGGTCCTCTCTACCTGAGGAAAGGTTCCCGAATTCATGAGCGGTCACTGGTGGGCTAAAGTTTTCTATTCAGGGACCAGGATACAAGAGGATGGGATAAGGAAAAACAGCTGTCTTGCTTCTCTCATGGAGGGACTACCAAGCTTTCTGACCCAAGGCAGGGAATACGTTTTTTATGTTTCTCTACCCAAAATATATTCTCATAGCCAGGAGATCAAGGAAAACAAAGAGCTTTAGGAGTGGGGATAGTATTTGGGCATAGAAATCTGGTTCTGCTCATTGGGTGAAAATTATGCAAATAGTCATTGCCTATTTTCTTCCTTTCTTCTGAAATTAGGGTCAGTAGACACAGTTAGGGCATTGGATTATGCATTCTAAGTCTGTGTGGTGGGTGAGCACAGAGATGATTTAAATCCCTAAGAGGCAGGGGATTTGGGAGTATCAGGGATTTGGGATTTGGTACCCCCACTGGGAGCCAGAGCTTCCACCCCAAGGGAAACTGCTTGATGCCAGGGAGAATCAGGTTCTCTGAGCAGGTGCCAGCCAAATGTTACCACCATACCAAGCCTTTGCATGGATGACTTTCCATTGACAATTTGTTCACTCACTATTGTCTTGTGCCTGGGATAACCTTTGTTTATCATATGAAAATATGTTCCTAGGAAGCCCTACCAGGTAAGTTTTATGTGGCTAAAGGAAGGACTTGGGTAAAGGTTCAACTCTCCTTGAGTCACTGGGCCCGCCGGCTAGCTACATTCTCTAGAGGGGATCAAGGGGTCTTAGAGTCTGTGTAACCTTTCCATTTTACAAAGGAGAACCTGAGGCCCAGAGAGGTTAAGTAATTTTCCCAAGGTCGCACAGCTAGCTGTTCAAGTCCCTTAAACTAAACGAACTGTCTGTACCGATGTTAATTATGACTAGTGCCACCCCAGAAACGTTGCATCCCCAATACAAAACCAACTAGTATGATTCAGGGAATCCCAACTTCCCACTCCCACCCCTACACCAAACAGTACCAAAATAATCAGGTTCTGTTGTTGCTACAATTCTGACCACTTTCC